AAAAAAAAAAAAAAAAAAAAAAAAAAAAGACAAGAAAAGAAAGAAAAGGAAAACAAAAAAAGGCTGGCGGTGTTCTCAGTGCAAAGGTCCTGGATTCAATCACCAGTACACTAAATAAATGTAATAGATATTAAATATTTGTTTTCTACCTTCTGAAGATAGCATTAGCCAAGTATACTTTGGACTGTAAATGCCAAATAAATACAAATCCTCACAATGGCCTGGAAGGCTCTATAATGCTCTTTCATAACATACTGGCCTTACTGGCCTTCTTAACTGTTTTGGGACATAGCCCATTGTGCAGATTTGTCTGATTAGGAATGTTCTTCCCAGTGGTTTACTTCTTTTTTTTTCCCAGCACTGAAGATCAGTCTCTGGACCTGGTAGATGCTGAGCAAATGCTCTACCACTGAGCTACCCTCCCAGCCCTCATAGTTTACTTAACTTTCTCCTCCCCCTTCTCAAACTCCACCACTGTGAGGCCCTGCTCAACTATTTTAATTTGAATCTTTCCCTCAAACTTACAACCCCATCTCTGATTTTCCTTATTTTGTGCGTTGTCTCTTTCTGTGGGGAAGACCTTTTCATTTGGGTATGTTTGCTTAGATGCTTTGCTGTTAAATACTCAGTAGAGAGTATGGCCAGGATACAGTGGCTCTCAACAGGGTCTCACTATGTAGCCTAACCTGGGCTCAAATTTGAAATCCTCCTGCCTCAGCGTCCCAGAGTGCTGGGATTACAGGCTGGTGTCACTGCACCCAGTTTAAGAAATATTCCTTGGATGAGTAAACGACTGCATACTCCTTGGAGGTCTTGTTCCATCTTTAAGGATGATTCTCTTGCCGGGCATGGTGGTGCACGCCTGTAATCCCAGCATTCAGGAGGCTGAGGCAGGAGGATTGCTGTGAGTTTGAGACCAGCCTGGGCTACATAGTGAGTTCCAGGTCAGTCTCAACTACATAGTGAGACCCTGTCTAAAAAAACAAAACAAAACAAAAAGGATGATTCTCTTGAAAGTGTTAGCTCCTTCCCTGAAGGAGGAGGCCTCAGAGTGAGTGAGGCCAGGCAGAGGGGGGTGAGCTGTGTTCTAAGCCTTTTTTCCTTAGAAATCCAAAAGGAGTGGCCCCTTCCTGAAAAGGCCGTGGTAAAACCTAATATTTGGCAGAATGCTGGAGAACTTTGAGCTAATTTTTTCATTTTAAAAAATCAGGAAGGAAAAACTGAATACAGGCATAAATTTTGACTAGATCCTAGTTTTGTCTTGTTTCATAGTTCTAGGGATCAAACCTAGGACCTCACCTGTCCTAGGCAATGCTGTACCAATGAGCTACATGTCCAGCCCACAGATCCTAGTGTAATACAAACAAATAAACAAAACTCTGAAAGACATTGGGGGATAATTGGGAAATCTGAAAATGAGTCAAATATTAGATATTATTAAGGAATTACTAATAACCCTGATAATGGGACTAAGGCTAAATAGAATACTATTATTCTTTGGAGATGTGTGCTGAAATGTTTAAGGGAGAAAAATCACAAGGTCCACAGTTTAGTTTCCAGCTCCTTCTGAGATTCATTCATGTGATAACCCTTCTTTAGTCCCCACTTGGGCCCCGGTCCCCACACCTCAGGTGTCCCCAGGGTATTGGGCCTCTTCCCACCGACAAGAGGAGGACATTTAATGGGGAAGGACCTGTGTGTGAAAACAAGGATGAAACCAGGACTTGCTGTCAACATCCAGTTTTCACGTGGGTCCTGGATCATGACATTAGTTTAAAGTGACTTTGATTCCCTTAGATACAAATCAAGGGCTGTGGCAACTCAGGACCACTCCAGTTTCGCCATGCTTGGCCTGTGCCCTGCACACAGTAAGTGACACTCCTCTGTTTTCCCTAGTGGAATAAATAACCAATCAGTTGATACATCCCATGACCTGTGTAATTTCTCCATCCTTGTGTCCTTCATTCACTCTTTTTTTTAATTTTAATTTTTATTTATTTATTTTGGTACCAGGGATCGAACTCAGTCCCTTGTGTTTGCCAGGCAGGCGGTGGAACCACTGAGCCAAATTCCCGGCCTCCATTCATTCTTAAGGACAAATTCATCTCCTGTTTCACCCAAGAGGAAATGACAAGCAAAAATTCTCAGCTTGCTACTCAGAAAGACTGCAGTCTCAGAAATATAAAGTGTCTTGTCCAAAAGCAAAATTCCACATGGCAAAGAATCTTGATTGCATCCCAGGTTTAACACTTCCCAAACCTCATCCTGGGCAAAAGCCTGGCATTCTTCACGGACCATGATTCCCTTCTCACCAACCCTATTTCCAAGAGCTGGCTGCTTGTGGCAGGGAGATGAGAAAACTCCGGAGTCAGTCACCGCCACTGGGTAGGACCTGCTTCCAGCTGCAGCCTGTGGAAAGTTACCTGGTTTTGTTTTTCCCTAAGCGTGAAGCCCACTTTTGTAGCTTGTATCTCAGGGCAAACATTAGTGTTTTAAACTTTCCAAGTTTATGTGCAATCTTGCCAGATTTGAAACCATCTTGTCTCAAGAGAATACATCCTTTATTTCTTAAAACATTTTTAAAAACATTAGTTTTACAGGCACCTGAGGTTGTGAGGTTGTGTGATTTGCTGGAAGAATTTTGGAAAAGTTTTATCCTGTTTCTGAAATTCAGAATCCTTGTAAGAACCATGGCTGGGAATTTAAAGAAAATCATCTGAAAGTTGAACCTTTGCTTCAGCATGATTTTCTAAATAATGGAGAAACTGTCTCAGTAAAAAGGCGTTGACTTTCACACACCAAGAGAAAGTGATGAAAGTTGCCCCAGTGTCCTGGTTGAGCCTGGTGGTGGGAGGGGTTTGTCCTGCCCTCGGAAGGAATTGTCTACACCAGGAGCCCCGAGGAATCTGTTTCACTTTAGAGGAGAAACATTCACAGTAATTTTCTGAAAAGAAGTATGATTTCTGTGACCAAGAGAACCAATAAAAGCACAAAGCAAGTTACCACAAGCAGCCTTGACACTGTGTGCCAGCAATAGGACCTTTAAAAAGATGAGGTTGATGCCATGACCCCTGAAAAAAGCTGGGGAGCACAGGACTGTGGAGACTTCCAGAGGGTCATTAGGACCTTTTCCCCATCTCAGGAGGAACTCTGGGCTTTTACTATATGAAGGTGCAGCCTGAACCTCAGCCCTCATGGGAAGGCCCTGTGGTTTCTAGAGAAGAGGTCACCCAATTACCTCAGGTGGGCAGAAGATATCGGGGAAGGAATCGAGTCTCCCACCAGAAGAGAAGGAGTGGCTGCAGGATCCATGAGCAGTGGCAACATTTGGGGCTCATTGCTTGAGATCACTTCTTGGGCAGGAACAAGAAAAAGCCACAGCCAGAAAAGAAAAGACGTGTGGGGTGGGATGACAGGAACTGCCAGCATCTCCTCAGAGCGTCATCAGCTTTCATCAGAAAGGCCAGGCCTCACTTTGGACCACACCTACTACTCAAGGAGAGTAGCGAATGGTTTTCTTTTAAAGCTTAAGCAATCGAACTGCCCACTGACCTCAAGAGAAAAAAGAAATGGTCACAGATAATAAAAAGAATAGCCACTGAGTACAGTAACATAAGCTCAGGGAAGATTACAAGTTTAAAGCCAGACTGGGCAACTTAATGAGACTCTGTCCTAAAAATAAAAAGTAAAAAAGGCTGGAGATGTAGCTCAGTGGTAGAGAGCTCCTTTGTTTAATCCCCAGTATCGTATGCACACATACGCGCCCACACACACAAATAGCTAACTACAGAATATATTTAGGCCCATGGCAGCCTCCATGGTTGTTTTTGCTTATATATCTGTCCTTACTCACAGACTGTAAGCTGTTATTCCCCTTGCATTTTGGAGCTCAGCAAAGAAGGTACTTCGTAAATAATACTTGGCATAAACAAGTAAATAGATCATAAATATATCAGAAATGACCCACTCAAGAAGACCATGAGATTGACTTCCAAATACTGGTCAAGAGCTCAAAGTATGATGAGCCCAGGATGCATTTGTGGGTTTAGGTGACTTTTCTGGTTCTAGGAACCTGAGGTGATGACAGTGTAATAAACTGGAGTCTCCCTGTGAGGAAAGAGCTAACCAAGTTTAAATTGGGTTTCTGAGAGGGAAATCATTCCCCAGGAATGATGGCCCATGATACCCTATTGGCCTCCATGTCTGTCTGCTGGTGGCAACACACACAGCAGAGTGGGGAATGCTGGGCATTTGGTCCTGCTTAGTGTTTGACCAAAGGTGATGCTGACTTAGGGGACTAAGGTCATGTCCCCCTTCCCCCACAATCAATAATTTAATGTGACTTATCAGAAACAGAAAGAATTGTTTACTTTTAAACCCTGGATCCCATAAAGGGAGTGGAGAAAGGCCTAAAAGCCACAGATGCACAAGGCTCTTGCCTCTACACACCTTCCTGCTAGCCGAAGGATGGATCTGGGCCTGAGAGAAGACACAAGCTGACTGAGGTAAGTGCCCATTTCCCATGCGGCCTTCAGCTCCCCTCCATGAAGCAGGCTGTTCTCCAGGGCAGCTACTGGCTCTGTGGGATGAGGGTGAGCTGCCTACTAGGGCCTTGAGCAACACATCTTATTTGCATTTGTCTGCTGTGGTTATTCACTTTCTTCCGGAAGCCTAAGGAATACGGGAAACTTTCTCAAAGTTTCCTCTTACCCCTATGGAGGGAGAGTGAGGCTATGACAAAACTGAGGATCCAGAGACAATGTGGACTTTTATTTCTCTCCTTGGAATGTCTGTACGGTAAACTGCTTCCCATTTTATAGTGACCTAATTTATTAATAAGTCCTTTAAACAGGATTTTACCAGAATGACTAACTGGATTAAGTTTGTTTGACCAGGAGTCTTCCCCTTCCCTGTGCTTCAGGGCAAACACATGGGCAAAATGTGCTGTTTTGTTCTTATACTTCTAAAACACTGGCATGGGAATTGTTCCTATTGAATGTGTCTGCCCAATCTCTTCCCTCCCCTGGCCACCTACACAAAATGAAACAGGTCCCTAGGAATCCCCAGGCCTCAGCATTTCTCTCTTTGAAAAATCCACTGAGGCCCTATCTTGGCTGAAAATTTGCCTGCTACTTCCTCCTTCACCCCAGATTGGTGATAAACATAGATAATAAATGCATGAATAAAGAACTTTCCAGATTTCACCACCCAATGGATCTCAATAAAAACAGAAATGCTGCTTTGTGCCTGTTGTCAAGAACATTCTATTTTAAAAGTTCCATGTGTTTTCAAAATGATAAGACTTAGAAGTATGATACTCATATTTTTTGTCCTCATCTAGACTATAATAACCTAAAAGAATCAAATTAATGCATTTAACACATTTGTTTTATGACAGTAAATGTAGATTTGGAATTTAAAAGCATCATTTTGTTTTATTCTGTTTGTTTTTTGAGAAATAATTTTTTATGATGGGTTAATTTTGCAATTTTCCCAGTCCCCAAAGCACTCTCTGCTTGACCTGATGGGGTCTGGCCCCTACATATTCTTAGACCCAAAGAACAGAATGTTATAGTGAAGATAAGCTAAGCACTGACCTGAGGAAGCATAGGAAGTTGTAATATTCCTGATGATTAGGAATCTAAGGTGTCTTCCTGGGAGCTATGGGGCATGAAGAGTACTTAAGCAGTGATGGATTTGCTAGAAAGTTAAGCTTCCTAAGGCTGCCTTCTTAATGAACTTTCTTTCCCAATTAGGAAAGGAAAGGCATGGCATTCAAAGAGCCACAGACCCAGTGGAGCTTATTTTTCCTCATAGGTTCAATGGGAAAACTGTGTTCAGAATTGACCACAGCTGCTAGAAATGGCAAAAGATCCCATTCCGTGCAGGAAAGTGAGGGCACAGTGTTGACTTTTAGTTTTAATAGTCACTGGGCTGGGGATTTAGCTCAGTGGTTCCTCTGTCTGCCTCGCAAGTGCAAGGTCCCAAGTTCAATCCTCAGTACAAAAAAAAAAAAAAAAAAAAAAAAGAAGAAGAAGAAGAAAATAGTTTTAACTGTCATTTAGGAATGCTTTACCCTCAACTTCCCATGGGCAGCTCTCAGGAATTAAGGCACAGAGAGATGGAAGAAGGTTTATGTGGAAAGATCAGAGGCCTAGAGAAGCTAAGATCTCTTGAGGCCTTTTCTAAACTATAGAAAATTGGTGGCATTTGAACAAGTCACCCTGATTAATATCCAACACCTTTGTCTTAAGCACTGTTTTCCCCTCCAGTTCTATACAGGAAATAACAGGTACTATTATTCCCAAGTGGCTTATAAATTTTCTTTCTTTTTTAAAAACTGGGCATCTAACCCAGGCAAGCAAGCACTCTACCCCTGAGCTACACCTCAGCCCCTCTGTTGGGTATTAACTGATACTGTTTACATTCTCTTGTCCAATATGGAAATACTGAAACATGAGACTTTGTAACACTGCAGAATGAGAAAAGGCTATGTGAACACACACACACACACACACACACACACACACACACA